CAAAACTTTCTGAATTAGCAAGCCTAATTTAAACACACAATAAAACAGCACAACTAGCACTAATGCAGCTATATAATTAGAAAGGATGATTTTGGCGGGGGGGTCCGGTCGTGGGGCCTGAACTCTAGACCCTGGGCGCTGTCCCTCAGCTCTTCAGCTTAAGGCTAGCATTCTACCACTTGAGCCACAGCGCCACTTCCGGCTTTTTTCTTATGTGGTGCTGGGGAATCGAACCCAGGGCCTTCAGCATGCAAGGCAAGTGCTCTACCACTGAGCCACCTTCCCAGCCCCAGAAAAGATGATCTTTACAGTTATTTTCCACTTTGTTTTAAATATAGTGGTTTCTGTGCATTAACCAAGCAAACATTTTATATAAAATAAACCATCTAAAATAGGTTTTTCAATTAAAATTAATTCACTTTTTTTTGGCTCAAATTCAGATTCAAACATTGGACCTTTACAACTCCTACTACACTGGAGTCAAGCGAAAACTGCAACTTAATTCCTCAGTCTGTCTGAGTCAAGACAGAACCGTGCACTGCTGCTACTGATAACAGAGTACAAAGGGTACTGTTAATACTGCAGACATCTAATTTAAGAGAAGGAGCCAGGCAGGTGCTGGTAGCTCACACCTGTAATACAGCTACTCAAAACAGTTAAGAAGGATCAAAATTCAAAGCCACATGGGCAGGGAAGTCCAAGAGACAATATCTAAAAAATAAACAGGAAAAAAGAAAAAAGAAAAAAAACAGGCCTGGAGGCTTAGCTGAAGTAGTAGAGTGCCAGCCTAGCAAGCAGATGGCCTGGAACTCAAGTCCCAATACTAACAGAAAGCAAGCAAGAAAGAGAAAACAAGCCAAAGAACTAGGAAAATCAAAAAGCAGGAATGTGTGGCTATTGAGGCCAGGGCTCACGCCCATAATTCTAGTTACTCAGGAGGCTGAGATGATGGTTTCAAGCCAGCCAAAGAGCAAAGTCCTTGAGAAACTTACCTACAAATAACCACCAAAAAGCCAGAGGGGGACTGTGGCTCAAATGGTAGAGCGCTAACCTTGAACAAAATAGTCAAGGGACAGCAACAAGGCCTGAATTCAAGCCCCAAACAAACAAACAAAAAAACCTGAAAAGGATATAATTTATTCAGACTTAATACTATGACTCAATAGCACCCCAAAATCAAAGCTTATAAATGCACTAAAACAGTAGGCGGTATCAACTTTTTAGCATCTAAAATCCTCCAAAACTATCTTTTAGGTTAACAATGCAATGATTCTACTTACTTGAAGAATATATGCCCAAATTACCTGTTGCTACAGAAAAAGACTACCTACAATAAAACCATTAGACATGCTATCCACAATGAGCAATTCAGAAATTCTTCAGGAAACTCTAAAACAAACAACACATACAAGCTAAATTGAAACCAATAATAAAAAAGGGTAAAATATTAAACTTTTAAGACTACTTTTAATTACTAAACTTTAAAGGCATACATTTTTAAAGCAAATAACGTATTTCTTAGCAAATGGTATAAAAATATGCAACGTTGATTTGGATTATCATACATTTAGCTTTTTCAATTGTCTACTGAACACTCAGGAGATTCCATGTAAGAGGTGACAGCAACTAGAAGTCACAAGAGTCCAACACAGCCTCTAATTGCCTTGCAAATAAGAGCATCAAATTATGGAACTACCCACATCTTCTTGCTTCTTCATAATTTAGAAGACAAAATACTTTTATTTACATAGATTACTTTTTATTTGCAAAAACAATTAACAACACTGTCACTTTCTCCTTGTCAAAAACAAAAAAAAAAAAATTTAAATCAGAAAATCCTATATAATAGTTAAGACTAATCCTATCATCTACTTTGGATTTTCTTTATCCAGGTTCTAGCTTATAGGGGGTGGGAGAGATTTACATATTCCACACATTTTGCTTCAATTTTTATTTCACTGAATATATTTTTATAAGCTCATTTGCCTATTCTACTTTTGAATCCTCATATTATCTGCCCATCTTTCATAGCATATATCCAAATATACAATGTACTGAATATTAACTTACTAGTTTTGTATACTAAAATATTCATCCTCAGGCTTGTATGCAAATGTTTCCCTATATTTGTTTAACTCTGATTACAGTGTTTAAGATCACTTGTTTATGATCAGATCACATTTTTTCCATATGGCTTAAAACTCCTAACACCAAAAGTCTAGATACTACTAATCAACACCCAAACTCCCAATTTTAGTTGAACATGTTGTCACTTTACTAAAACACTTATCTCTAGCTTGCCCTGTTAACAGGAAGAGCGCAAGACTGAGGTTTAATTTGTGATGTCTATGATTGGTATGTGAGAACTCTGAAACACCCAAAAGGGTGACCTTGGACCCTTTCAATCTTCCTGCAATCCACCAACAAGAACGAGGCCTGGAACTTATTACTTAAATCTGAGAACCAAGCCTGGTTACCTACCTGATTAATGCTGAGGCCAACAGCAGATCCCAAATGCCTTCAGGCATCTTTTGACACTAGTGGGATATAAAACTAATATTTGGGGGCTGGGATGGTAGCTCAGTGGTAGAGTGCTTGCCTTGTATGCATGAGGCCCTGGCTTCGATTCCTCAGTACCACATAAGCAAAAAGAAAAAACCTGGAAGTGGTGCTGTGGCTCAAGTGGTAGAATGCTAGCCTTGAGCTGAAGGGCTGAGGGACAGTGCCCAGGCCCAGAGTTCAGGCCCCACGACCAGACCCCCCCCCAAAAAAAAACAAAAACAAAACCTAATATTTGGTTTTGTGTCTAGTAAGCCTAATGGCTTAATGATTAAAATGCTTTCTCCCAACATATTTAAGGGTGGGGGAAGGATGATTATATGTACATGAAGGTTAATGCTGAAATCTTTAATCTGAGATTTCACATTGCTTTAAACAGAAATCTCTTTTCCCCAAAAGAGGAATCTTTTCTCAATCTGTCTGAAACGTTATGCCTATTAGTGCGTTATGCTTTCACTTAAGAAAAAGTTGTCTGTTTACTAATGTTCCTCCAAAGACCCCTTCCTTCCTCTTCTCCCCTAGCATGTGTACCTGACACTTCCTGAGCCTCTCCTCCCCTAGCATGTATGCCTGTCATTTCCTTCCTCCCCTCCCTTAGTGTGTGTACATGCTGTAACTTCCCTCAGTCTTTTTTCTCTCTTCCCTTTCCCCACTCCCAGAAGGCACTGAAAACTGGAAGACAAGTAGCCATTTGTATTTTTAACAGTTTAATAAATACATTCCCAAAACTAAATTTCAAGTTATCTAGATGTACAAGCCATGGGCTGTCACTTCCAGGAGGCACCAGGCAACGTAAAGCTTGTTAACATACTTTATAACACAAAAGTTTATGCACATCTCCAGAGACCATTTGAAGATTGAAATTTATAAAATATTTCCCCATTCCAAAATATACTACAAACAAAATTTAAGAGAACAGGAAGGGAAATAAAGATAAAAACTTTAATACAGCACATACTAATAAAAAGAACTAAATTAATGGGCACCAAAGGCCTTGTATTTCTCTGGGAATGAGTCCTGTCGGCTATGCTCCTTGCTTTCACAGGGTTAATTTTCTTTCACCTAGTCACTCCTTACAGGGTTTGACTAGACTGGTCTGAGCTTCATGCTACAGAAGTCGTCGGGGAACCAAGCCTGCTTGCGCCTGTCTTCTTAAGCTTTTAAAGCATCTCCTTTAGCTTTGCTGGGGTTCCTGGGATACACAAATTTTCCTACAGAGTCCCTTGTGTACTATTATTTTTTTTCTAACTCTCAAGTTCTTTCAAATAGCATCAAATGTAGCTATGGGAGCGAAGAAGGGGTACACCCAGGAACCAGTTCTGTTTGTACCAGCACATGTGCTCCTGGTGCATTAGGAAAGAGCCCACTGGGTCTCTATGTAACACACCAAATAAATGCGAAGCCAGTAAATATCAGCCTTGGTGATCGATCTCTCGAGATCAGAGAAACCACATTAAGGAAAATTACTGAGAAATAAACACTAATAAGGACATCTTTTTAAGAAAACCAACAAGAAGCCAGGTGCTGGTGGCTCAAGCCTATAATCCTAGCTACTCAGGAGGTTAAGATCTGAGCACCACAGCTCAAAGCTAGCTGAGCACCACAGCTCAAAGCTAGCTAGGCAGGAAAGTCCTTGAGACTCTTCATCTCCAATTAAACAAGGAAAAATCTGGAAGTGGAGCTGTATAGTTCAAATGGCTGAGCACTAGCCTTAGAGCAAAGAAGGTGAGGGACAGGGACACTAACACACACACACACACACACACACACACACACACAC